GTCTTAGCGGTTAGACCATTGACCACTCATCCTCGAGAGGACGGAGCAGTGTTCCCACAGGACCGATCACCGATGGCCAATCGTTCCTTTCTACTTTGCCAAAGGTGGCTCAAAAATGTCTTCCCTAGTCTGTCTATCCTAACGATATCTCTTCCCGCCTTTTCAACCCACCTCCTACGCCCCAGTACAGCTACCGTCCTTTCCTCTCTCTCCCTGTACGTCCCCAGCTCAGTCACGTACACTTCCCTCTCCTTCTTGTACAACGGACAGTCCGCGACTACATGAACACGGTCTTCGCATTCGAAGCCGCAATCACATTTGGACTCGTCGTCTTCGTCGTGTGTGTTCGTCGACGTTCTCGAAGGTCTATGTCCCCGGTCCTGGATTTGACCTTAAGCTTTGTTCCTGCATCCATTGGTCCATGAACCCTATTCCTTCATTCCGTACACTTCTATTATAATAGACCCTCCTTATCCTTGGATTCTTTCCGTAGATTCTGTTCTTCTCTCTNCTCCCTGTACGTCCCCAGCTCAGTCACGTACACTTCCCTCTCCTTCTTGTACAACGGACAGTCCGCGACTACATGAACACGGTCTTCGCATTCGAAGCCGCAATCACATTTGGACTCGTCGTCTTCGTCGTGTGTGTTCGTCGACGTTCTCGAAGGTCTATGTCCCCGGTCCTGGATTTGACCTTAAGCTTTGTTCCTGCATCCATTGGTCCATGTAGGTAGTCCTTGAACCCTATTCCTTCCTTCAACATTCCGTACACTTCTAGACCCTCCTTATCCTTGGATTCTTTCCTCAGATTCTGTTCTTCTCTCTCGGCACAAGCAACAGATATCTTCTCCTTGAACCCCTGTAGACCCTCCGTTTCCAGCGTTTCATCTTCGTCGATGTCGAGCCCCTTGCATACGTCCTCCTAATCCTTGACCCATTCCGTGGGTTGTCTAGACTACTCCTCTTTTTGTTTGCCCACTTCGCCTCCCATACAATTCTCGGCATCCTCTCCCATCCCGCACATGCGATACTGCCATGTCAGCTTCCTCGCGTCTCTTCCCGACCGTAGGGATTGGATCCCTAATTCTGCCCTGACGGCTGCATTACTTGTGCGCTTGGAGCATCCTAGGATGATTTTCGCTGCTTTCATCTGCGCCGCCTCGAGTTCTTTCTCTACCTTCTTGTTTCCTTCCCGTACCTCTCCGGCGTACTCTAGCGGCGGTACGATTGCGCTCTTCAAAACCG